AGCAAAATTTGGAGGCAAAGGCATGAGTTTCAGGTCCATAATTTAACAGCTATGTGACCTTAGGAAGTCATTTAATTCCTTTAACTCCTCATCATCTATAAAACAGGAAGATCAATACCTACCTATTTCAGAGTAGTTTTAAAGATCAAATGAGATAAAGAACATAAAATGTCTTCATAAACTCTAAAAATACATACACAAATATAATTATCATCATCATTCCTGATTTTGATAAAGAATGAACAGGAGGAAAAAAAGAACAGTGAAAGAGGGTTGCAGGGGGAAAGATCCTTTTGTTTGGCTTTGCTTTCTTTTTAAGCATGCTAATGACCTTTAAGAAGGATTTTCAGACTTCATTATTTACCTGGGACCTTACTGTCAATTGGGCTGTGAGAACAGAATCTGTATTATTTTGTCACTTTGCTGTAAGTATAGACACAGTTATGTAACTGTAACTTCTGCAGATTTGGAGGTTAATAAAAATGTAACAGCTTATTTCTTTTTAAGTTTAGCTTCTCATAAGAATCAGTGACCATGGCGCACCTGGGTGGCTCAGTCTATTTAGCGTCTGCCTTCGGCTCGGGTCATGATCCCAGGGTCCTGGGATCAAGCCCCACATCGGGCTCCCTGCTCAGTGGGGAGTCTGCTTCTCCCTCTGACTCTCACCCCCACTTGTGCTTTCTCTCTCACTCTCTCTCTCAAATAAGTAAATAAATAAATAATATCTTAAAAAAAAAGAATCATGAAGTATATCAGTCCACTTAAAATGATGAGTTTAAGGGAAATTATTCAAAATTTCACAATTTAAGGTTAATTTTTAATAGTATTTTCAGCAAATGAAAGAAGTTGAAGTGAAATCACTCAACTGTTGCAAGGTCTGTCAGATATTAAAAAACAATTAAGTATCCAACCCTAGATTACTAGTCACAAAACATCAATTCACCAAAACGTTCAATAGTTGAGTTCAGAAGTCATACAACACTCACCCCTTTCATACCAAAGCGAGCCCTATTATTTTTACTCCTTCTAAATTATTTTCATAAAAATCACTTTTGACAAGGCAAATTATTACAACGTACCCATATATTAACAATAAAAAATACCATTTCTTTCTACAGAAGAAAAATCATGGGCTCTGATAAGCCATTTCTAAAACGTCTGTACATTTTTACTGATTACAAACAATATTTGATCTACATTTAAACCTACATGTAAGCTCAAAAGCCTGCCAGACCTAATAATTTCATATATGAAATTACATGCTAATACCTCAATACTGAAACTCAAGACAGCTATTTGTACAGTACTTCCAGGATTCAGACTTTTTATATAAATGTCAAATGATAGGTTCAGGAGCTTTTGAATCTGATTCATTTATTCATTCAATTCAGAATCTGCCATGGTTTTTTTTTTTTTTTTTTTAAAGATTTTATTTGAGAGAGCGTGAGCAAGAGAGAGAGAGAGAGAAATCACAGGAGCAGGGGCAGAGGGCAGAGCAGGGAGCCAGACTCCCAGGACCCTGGGATCATGACTTGAGCCGAAGGCAGACACTTACCCGACTGAGCCATCCAGGCGCCCCCTACCACGTTTTTCTAAGCAGTTCTCAACTAGGAGCAATTTTGCTAAATGTCCCCTGGGGTGGGCGCAATGTCTGGAAACATTTCTGGTTGTCACAACTGGAGGCGAGGGTTGCCAGAAAGGGGTGCTACTGGCATCTAGTGAGTAGACGCCAGGATGCTGCTAAACATCCTACAAAGCACAGGATAGCACCCCCCCCAACAAGGAACCATCCACCCCAAAATGTCAATACCGCCAAGGCTGAGAAACTCTATCTATAGAAAAGTTGATAAACACTGTGGGGCACCTGGGCAGCTCAGCCGGTTAAGCATCTGCCTTTGGGGGGAAAAAAAAAAAAAGCATCTGCCTTCGGCTCAGGTCATGATCCTGGAGTCCCAGGACAGAGCCCCACAAACAGGCTCTCTGCTCAGCTGGGCGTCCGCTTCTCCCTTTGCCCCTCATCCTGCTTGTGCTCCTGCAAGTGCTCTTTCTGGCTCTCTCAAATAAAATAAAATCTTAAAAATAAATAAACTAAGTCGCAAAAATTTTAAAAAAAGAAAAAGTTTATAAGCACTCATCTGTCTAGAAACAGTACTCACTTCACCTTTGTTTCCTCTATTATTTGCTAATGACAGTCTTTTCATACCAGACTTCAACAAACTTACCCTAGTCCCATCCTTTCGATCTAACTTCCAAACTTGTTGACAGAATAATCATTATCTCAGCCAATTTCAAAACCTCATAGTCTTTGACTCACCCCTATTTTTATAATAGTAGTGGTAGTAATAGCAGCAGCTAACACATATTAGCTCTTACTATGTGTCAGGCAGTAAGTGCCTTATGTATATTAACTAATTTAATCTAGGTACTATTATTATTGGTGCTCTTATCCCTATTTTACCAATGGAGTCCAAGGCATAAAAAGGTTAAATAACTTGCCCAGGGTCACACAAATAAGCAGCTGAGCCAGGTTTCAAATCCAGGCAGAATGGCCCCAGAGTTCATGCCCTTAATAAATATTCCAAGGTGATCTCTCTTCCTTCATCCTCTATACTGAATCATGAAGCCCTTTAAGTTCTACAAGGACTCTTGTTATGTCCACAGCAACATTCCCGAAGCCCAGCTACATAACAGGTACTCAAAAATCTTGTTTATTGAATGAATGAACTATCCCTCAAACTTACCCCTACTATTTCCTTTGCCTCCACTTAAGGCCAGTCTTGGAGCATTCACACCTGGGTCTGCTGATACATCCTATGAATTAGCCAATCATGTAAACTGATAGAAGCTCCTCTGCCACATTTTCCATCACCCAGGCCCAATCAAACATACCCAAAGCTTTCTTGCGACCGCTTCAATTAGAATCATAAAATCCTAGAGTCAGAGGCTACCTTAGGGATCCTCCAAGCCAATATCTTGCGGATAAAGAAACCCAAAGATGGCAAGTAACTAACTTACGCAGGCAGGTGGAGCCAGGACCAGAACTTGATTCTTGCAATTTTTTGCTCTAGGATTTACTCCTGGAGGACTTGCTTCACTCCCGACAGATGTCTCACTATCCCACCAACAAATCATGTTAATTCCCACTGTTTACGCTCAACTTGTCTCTCCTGCCCAGCCTGCCCTCTTTTCCTTGTTTCATAGATCCAAATCCTATCCACCCTTCAAAATATCTTCCTATTCCATTCTTCATGACATTCCTCCTTCTCTGAAAAGTTTAAATCTTCAGTAAGATGCTGGAGGAAGAGAATCACTGTTGCCTATTGGGCCAAGTTTAATGCATACAAACACTTCCCACAAAGCTAGGCTACTTGGATGATCTTCCTTGAAAGCGTGTCATCCATTCTTTCCTCCAGTGTTTTAGAAAGTGATTTTAATAAAGACTAACTCATACATAGCGCCTTCATAAAATGTTCATATATCTGGAAGAGAACCTCACTCACATCTTTTAACAGTAGACATGTAACACCTGAATGGCCCCAAATCACTTATATCTTCTCCATTTAGAAACGACTCAGCATATTCACAAAGTCCAAACCCAGAGCTCTCTGATACAACTCAGCTAGCAGCCACAGTTCCTTGAGTTCATCTCTTTCTTTGCATACTACCATCTATCATTACTTCCTCCAAAACTCCCATTTCTAACAAATAGTTCACACTTCTTTTTCTTCCTCCTCTTCCCTACATTGTGCAATATAAACACCCTGTCTCTTTTATCCTTTATTATTAGTGAAACTCCAGTTTGCTACCACTCATCTAACCTCAACTATCCAGCCTTTATATAAGTCATATCTATCTCTTCAGCCTAAGGTCTTATAGTATCCCAACCCCATAAAGGTCAATTTTGTTTTTCCCCCTTCTCTCCTCTTCCTTCCTCTAGAAAAGTGGTCTCAAAAGTGGTGTGGGTACAGCTCAGAGGAAGTGAAAAGGATCCACTGGGCTGCAGGAAAAAAAATATATTATAACTCTCATTATACTTATTTTTTCATCTCATCCCTTCTTAAATTCTATTTCTGTGTGCATTTATAAGTTACATAACATATTGGTACAGCAGAACAAGTACATATATAATTAACAGATAACGAATTCTTGGAGTATGTGCTCTTTTACTGATAAGAGGATATGATCAAAAGAGCTCAAAGACAACCATTCTAAAAATACCTTGATAATGAAGCCAAAGTAATAGGTTCCAAACTATACAGAAGATTTATGTACATATGCACACACTGTAGGAAGAAAACTCTTGTTCATGTCCAAAGTCCTAACCATGCCCACCAACCTCTAACCCCTGCCAGCTTCTCAGAACTGCGTCCTACTCAAAAGAGAACACAGGAGTCTGGCAATGCCTTTCATTTCCAGTTGGGGGGCGGGGGGGGGGTTGGGGGGGGAAATCTCAAAAGCGCTGAGATACTACCCTTATCTTTGCCATGTTAGAGTATTTCAAGTCAATGCTCACTATTCTGACACTGCTCAGTCTGAGTTATACTTGTATATACTTTATACGCCACTAGCTTCTGAGATTCAGTTCCTATTTCCAAATCCCTCGAGGCACAACCCGTTCCCTTCGCTAACGACCGATACACTAACACCTAGTGGATTGAGCTCACACCTCCCAGCATCCTTGCCTCCCCTGGGGATACTACCCACCGTCTTCCCCAAGCCACACAGTCTGTCCCAGGGTAGAGGACAGTCCATCCACCGTCCCTAAGACCACTTCTCTTTCCTTCTCCGCCCCCGGGAGCTGCCAGCCAGGCTGGAGATGGGAGGGGGGAGGGGTGTGACTCGCCTCCCGTGACTGGCCCAGATGGCAGCGGATTCCGCCCCCACTCTCAGGCACCCCGCCACCCCTGGACCCCTTAGAGCTGCCTGTCTCCTTCCCACCCCGCCCCAATCCCACCCCCGGCCTCCCCCACGCCCTCACGCCAGCTCCCAGACATACTCACCATGCTGGGTGAAGACATTGAAGCCGGCCTCTGTGGTGCGCCCCGCCAGGTCCCGCCTGCGGCCGGAGGGCCTGGCTGCACTGCTGACCCGGATCCCGCGAGGTTGAGGCTGCTGAAGCCCCGGAGCCTCCCCGACGCGGCCCACCTGCTGCCCCATCCCTGCGCTCGCGTACTCCCGCGCCCCCGCCGACCCCAGGTCACATTCCTCCTCGGCTCCGGCCTCAGGCTCCCGGCGCTGCTCCGGCCTCTCTTTCCCAGTCCAGGCCCCGGCCCCGAGCGGTCGGGCCGCCGGCAGCTCCGCGGACTCCTCAAAGCAGCCGCCGCGCTGCTTCTCAGCAACTCACAGATTCTCCTTCTCCCTCCTCCTCCCGCGGCTCCGCGCCCCCAACGCCGCCGCCGCCGCCGCCGCCATCTTTAAACCACCGAGCGCTGGGAGAGCGTGGGACAGAGCGTCTCCCGCCCCCCACCCGACCAGTCCCCTCCGCTACTCGGAGGGAGGGCTTCCCGGCGGCCCCGCCCCGGCCAGGCCCCACCCCGCCCGCGCCGCCCCCGCCTCCTCCCCGGGTGGGTCCCCCCAGTGCCCACCTCTTTGGCACATCCACCGCTCCTTCAGGTCTTTCGGTCCCTGTGTGCCTTCGCGCCACCTGGGCCTCCCAGGTCTGACTTGTCTTAGCCGACCCCTCCCAGCTTCGGCGCTACATGCTACCGCCTTTTGGAGTTGGACGGTCTAAAGCCTTCCCTGTCCCACCTCCACCTGTCAAATCAGTCAGTTGCGCTGAGCGCCCCAGGGGCCCAGTTGAGACAGGAAAGCACAAGTCATTTGCTACTTGCCATCCAAGTGAGGATCCCTGAAAAGCCCAGGAGAATCCCTTCTAACACCATTGTCAGCAGCAGGCCTAGATTCTAAGATTATACATGAAGGTAGTAAAAAGGTACATTATTGTTGTATTGTAATTTTTTGAAATTATTTCATGATGTTAAATTGCACTTGCCTCCGTTGTCTGTACTCTGCGGTCTCATTGGATAAGCAGTTATGGCCCCATTCCTCATATTATATTACCATGAATTCCTCTTGAACTCCTTTACCGTCTAACCACATCTGTTTCTGTTACCATTACAATGCTTGACAGGAAAGCTAATCTTTGCACTGGTGTGCTTTATATACCGTGCTCGGGGTCAGGTCTCCTTTTGATGACAAAGGGGGAAAAGAAAATTTCTCTTTGACCCTGTTTCTGAGTAAGAACTTACTCATCATTGATTTATATTGTCTAAAGAGAGTGACTCAAACAGCAGTTTTTTATACATGCACACACATACATATGTACAAATATTCATTAATCATTGCCCCGTTGCACATTCTTGCATCTTAATACTGACCCAGTTTTTTTTTTAATTCTCAAGGAACTTGATAACTGTCCTCTTTCTATTCCTTTCACTCCCTTATTTCCCTGATAAAAAGTATCAGTTACTACAGGTACCACACTGAAAATTTGCTTAAAATTAAAGCAGACAGGATGGGAGACATTGCAAAGAAGCAACAAAACATCCACTGGGAAGACAGGTTCAGGGGGGGAAAGGTGGATGCAGCTCTCCTTTACACATCTTCCATAGAACCAGGGTGACCTTAGATGAACCATTCACTGACACTGATACTACTATCAGAGCGTTACGGAATTATTCCATTGCCATCCAGGGTGTAACCAGAAATAACTGAAAGTGTCCCCCCCAAAAAAGGGAACAGAAACACTATGCTTTAGCGCTAGATAGAATATGAATTTTCCATTTAGATCAAAGTTTTCCTGTGTTTAAAATATTTTTTTCCTTTTAATTCCCAAAGTGTTTGCAACTACTGGGGAAAAAATCATTTACAAGGGACAAAGGTTAATATAGAGCTAGAATTTGGTTTGTTGTTTGGTTTTTATTATCTGAGAGAATATTAATTTGAGGATAATAGTCTGGCTTCTCTGCTAATTCACCCATGGCACATAGTAGATGGGTACAGGACAGTAGTTAAGGGCAGGGACTCTGAAGCCAGACTGAGTTCAAAACTCGGCTCTGATACTTATTAGGTATTTGCTCTTGGCAAATACTTAACCTTTTGTGTGTCAGTTCCTCATCCATGAAGTGATGGTGATAACAATACCTACCTGATAGGGCTGTTGTTAGAATTAAATTGGTTAACATAAAGCACTTAAAACAGTATTTGGCATTTAATGAGTGTCGTAGAAGTATTAGTACAAAAAAATTAATGTTTTCAGAAGTCCATCAGATTTTCCAAGCCTAATTTTTTCAAGTGGTAAGACTTAGACTATGGAACAAATGCTACAATATTTATTCAGGGAAGCCACTGTCCCCCACTTGCCACCAGCTAACAACAAAAACACCAATCAACCAATTAAAACATGTATGATCAAATATCACTTTATTAAAAAACTAATGATGTATGGTGATTAACATAACATAATTAAATAAAAAGAGTGCACTTAAAAAAACAAATATCACTTTATTAGTCATTCCTACGTGATTATGCACATGTGGACTATTATATAATACCTTTGTTTTGCATATGAAGATTCCTCTACCATTGATTCTTAAGATCCTATCTAGACTAAAGCAAATATCCTGTAAGTGGAGACTTAGGATATATGCATTATCTTGCAGATATTTCCCATTCTTTCATTTTCAAAGTGAAATGGGAACTTTAAGAATGGGGGATGGTGATAGACTAGGGAGAAACCTATTTCATTAGGCATGGGAAATTATTTCATCTCAATATAACCAAGGCATAGTGACTTACCTGAGGATTACATTTAAACATTTAAAACAATTACAACATTTAAACAATCCCAAGTAGTACCATCTCAAAGTGAACTGAGGGCAGCTGTGAGCTCCAGGCAGGGGCAGAAACCAGGTGGGAAAAAGTAGCAGGGATGGTGCACAGTAGCCCAGGGACAACCTCAACCAACCGATAGCCAGGGACTGGCATAAAAGATCAAACAGACACATCACCAACATTAACAAGGCACATTGAAGATATAGATGCTTATCATCTTTACCTTCCCTGTAGTAGGAGCAACACCACTATTTCCAGAAGCAAGGGACTTGTGAGCAACACTTCACTGAACCCTTTCTTTACCAGTCTGCGTTTCTAGACTATTGCCACATTCTTACATTGTCTTTCATATCTACTTCTTTCTCTACCTCTGTATGAACACAGTGTTCATTTAGATTCAGGTCATCTCTGCTGGATTCTCCTGCTGTATAAGCCTTTCCTTCCTAGCTTCCTCACATTTAGTACCAAGCAACCCACTAAAACAAAAATATTTCTTCCTCTCATCTCTTTGACGACTGTGTTTCCCCTCCCCTTCATTATATACAATGTCCAAATTTTTCACCTGCTTCAAAATTATTTTCCAGGACACCCTGGATTATAATTGCTTAATGTGTGTCATCTCTTGTTCCTCAAACCCCCACCCCTCCTATGGCAGGCATGTGTGTTCATCCAATTAGCCTATTTCATGATGTCTTCTTTCTTAGCTATGACTTTTGAAATAATCATATTCTCTGCAATATGGCTCCCAACTGACTCCTCTTACAGTACTCAGAATTCTACTCAAATCCTTCCTCCTTTATAAGAGAATCCCAGACTCATCCACAGATACTTAATGGTTTCCCTGGATTCTACTGGTCCAGACCTAAAACAATCACAGCTGGTAACAATTCTCTGCCTTAACATTCAATTACCTTCCTCTAAGGTAATTGGAGGGGCCTGGGGGGGTGTTGCAATCTCCACTGATCCCTGTCTTTACCAGTCTACATTTCCAGGCTGGTAAATGTATTTAATTTTGGTATGTGGCTCAGCATCACAGGGTTGGAAAGAACCTTAGAGGTCACCTAGGCTAATCTGGAATTCCCTCGACAATAACTCCAGTGAGGGAACTCATTTATTTTGAGGAGTTGTTGTTGTTGTTGTTGTTTTTAGAGAGAGAGACAGGGACACCTGGGTGGTTCAGTCGGTTGAGTGTCTGCCTTGGGCTCAGGTCCTGATCTCAGGGTCCTGGGGCTGAGCCCAGTGGGCGTTCAGCTCCCTGCTCAGTGGGGAGCCTGCTTCTCCCTCTCCCTGCCCCCCACTCATGCTTTCTCTCTATCTCAAATGAATAAATAAAATCTTTAAAAATAAAATAGAGAGAGAGAGCACGAGTGGGGGGGAGGGCGGGGGGAGGAACAGGGGAGGGAGAAGCAGCCTCCCAGCTGAATAGGGAGCCAGATGCCTGTTGGGCTCAGTCCCAGGACGCTGAGATCATGACCCGAGCCCAAGGCAGACACTCAGCCGACTGAGCCACCCAGGTGCCCTTAAGGAGTTCTAACTGCTAAAAAGTTCATCCTAAAAATAAACTGACACATGCCTCCTTGAAACTTCTACCTGTTTCACCCTGGTCCTAGTTCTACCCAGTAGCTAAACAAAACAAGTCTAACCTTTCTTCTACACAACTGCCCTTCAAATATTTGAGAACTGTCACGATTCCCCAAATCTTTTCTTTTACTACTTGTATACATGTATATGCTTGTATAGTTATGTTTAACTTTGTTTATATTATCCACACGGGCTAAAAATATTTATGTAGATAAATTGGAAGAAAAAAATGTCATTTTATATGTAGCCTTTTTCCTTTTTTCCCCAGCTTTATTGAGATAAAATTGATATACATGTGGTTTAAGTTGTACAACGTAGTAATTTGACACACATATTTTGCAAAATGATTACCACCATAGCTTTAGTTAACACCTCCACCACATCATATAATAACCATTTCGTTTTTGTGGTGAGAACATTTAAGATCTACTCTTTTAGCAACTTTCAAGTATATAGTACAGTATTATTAGGTATAATCACCATGCTGTACATTAGATCCCCAGAGCTTATCCCCAAATTAGATATTTGTATCCTTTGGCCAACATCTCTCCATTTCCCCCCACCCCAAACGCTGCTAAGCACCAATCTAGTTTCTGTTTCTATGAGTTTGGCTTTTTTATTTTTATTTTATTATTTTTTAAAGATTTTATTTTTAAGTAATCTCTATACCCAACATGGAGCTCAAACTCACAACCCCTAAATCAAAGACTGAACCAGTGAGTGCCCTGAGTTTGACTTTTTTAGATTCCACATTTAAGTGACACACAGTATTTGTCCTTGTCTGTCTGATTTACTTCACTTAGCATAATGCCCTCAAGGTTGCAATTTATGTCGTTGCAAATGACAGGATCTTATTCTTTCTCATGGCTGAATGATATTCCCGTGTGTGTGTGTGTGTGTGTGTGTGTGTGTATCACATCTTTTTTATCCATTCCTTTTAAGCTGTTTGTGCATGCAGTACTTTAGATTTGTTTATGTGTGGTTTGTCTCTGCATTGTTC